TTTTTTTTTTTTTTTTTGCTTTTTTCTTCATTATAGGTACTTCGTAACGTTATTACTTCATAACATGCATTACGAAGCATAGAGACATAATTTTGCAGAAATGATTAACTCTTTGACGGAAAAAGAGTGGCCGTTCTGACGTTTCGTTCCTTATGTAATGTACTTAAACTAGTGGTTGACTTTTTGCTATAAATACATTTTGCATGCAGAATTTACCATACAGGTATACTTTCTGAGATGTGTGATTTTCATTGTGTGAGGATTTTATTTGCATGTAACGATGACAAGTACAAAAAAGAAGCTGTTTCGTTATTATATTAAGCGTTGCGAGACATTGGACAATGGCGTTGCATCAGAATTCTAATTAATTCTGCTTAATTTAAACTATGTTTAAGCATGTATAATGTGCATTGCGCGCGTGTATAAAAATTGAAATAGGTTCGCTTGGTTATCCTCTTCGGAGGGCTTGGACTTCCCCTGTTCCTTCGGGTGTATAGGTTTGTTCGAAGCGTATCGGCGTACGGCACACTGTGATTAAAAAAATATAAATATATATATATATTAAGCCTATAAGGAAAGTTCGTGTAGAAAACAAATATCATTGCTAATATTTACGCATCAAACAAACTGACATTCAGTTTCTTTGATAAAAATCTGTACATTTTTTATACACGTACTCCGTGATTTATTTTAAGAAGACTTATTCCTCCGCATAAAAAATAATCGTATTAAAATTCTAATAGTCATATTCTCTTTCATTCATAATTGTTATGTGACAACAAAATCATGGTACACTTTTGTGTTGGCTGGAGCTACGGCTAAGACCGGCGCCAGCCATGAACTCTGTGTCAGAGTAAATTATGAAGCTCTTCAGCCACTGTTTTTAATCTGGAAATAGAATCTAAAAATAATAAAATAATCTTAATTTATGTGAACATGCACTCACAAAAATTATACTCTCAAGTTACCTCAGTAGTTCATCCTGGATACGATCTGTGATGACTTTTCTGGCTTGTACTTCGTCTACCTTAGAATTTTTTAAATCAGCTATCAATTCGTTTAAATCTATAGGATCTCCGTAATGGAGGGTGACTTTTTTTTTAGTCCTAATGATATAAGGAGGTTCATTTGGCAAAATCTGATCCATACCTAAATGGACGATTGGTATGATCAGAGGCACTTTGGGTGATTCTAAAATTAATCTTCCTATACCCCATTTAAATCTGCCAATAAAAAACAAAAAAAAAAAAACGATTAAATTCCATTTTTTTTATGATGAATTTAAAAGCGAAAATATAACTAAACATGTAATATACCTCAAGTTTTCCTTATACATGTTGACTTTGCCTTCTGGAAAAACGTGAACCCAGTCTCCCCTAGCTAATCGCTCGATGCAGAAGTTAATGGCATCCTGGTAAACACCGTCTCCTCTGATAACAGGCACGCATTTGCCGAGCATAAAAAAGTACGAGTGCCAAACATTTGTAAAGCAAATGTCGTGAGCGGCCAGCGACCACCTGTGTTTATGCCGATTCACCAAATACTTAAAATCCAGCGCGCCTGCATCATCAATTCCATTGAATCAGCACTTTTTTCTTTTTTCTTTTTTTTTTTTTTTCTTCTAATTTTATATACATATATCTATCGTACATACAAACGCAATGACTTTGAGCACTCACCCCAAATACCAGGGTCGTCGAAACAACTGTGATGATTGGATACAGTGATCAAGGGAACATCTTTAGGCCTGGAGCTCAAGGCTTTGTCGATGATGTGTTTATTGTACACAGCAGTCTTATTGAACCACTCTACAAATAAAAAAAAAAAAAAAAAAAAAAAAAAAAAAAGAAAAATTAATTTCACGCTCGACAGCTTTCTGGAATAAACAAAAAGGAAAAATTCAAATGGCCAAGTGATTGTACAAGAACGTTGTACAGCACAGGTTTATAAACACACAGGCTTCCGAGAGAAAAGGAGAGAATCAAAGCCGTCCTTGATACGTAGCGCATATACACCTATTATAACTCTGCAACGGCTCTTGGCGTCTTTGTAGCAACAATAAAGAGAAAAAAAAACTCCTACAAGGCGCGCGGCTCGTGCAAATACAACAGACAGAGAAAGAAAGAGAGAGAGAGAGGTTGGTGTCTCTGTTGGGAAACCGCGCGAGAGACGGATTAAAATAAAATTTGCGAACAGCGCCTGCTTATAATAGACAGGTGTTAAAATAAAAAAAATAACAAAACAGGTGAACGCGAGAGTCAAGGCTGAAATAATGAAAAAAAAAAATAAAAAAAAAAGGCAAAACTTACCCATAATGAGCTTGGAGAAGATCCCAACTGCGACGAAGGTTAGACTGCTGGCGAGGTTCCAGAGGCTGCTCGTAGGGCTTCTCAGCTTGGGGATGATCCATTTGATGTCGTAACCCATTGTTTAAGCTTTTACAGAGCAAAAAAGAGAGAGAGGGAGGGAGGGAGGACGAGGGCTGAGCTTGTTGTTCTACTTTTGTTATGGACACAAAACACCTGCATGTATTTCAACGCGCTACCAGGAAAAACGACACCCCGTGTTAGGTACAAATGAATCCTTATCAGGAAAACTTGAAATCAATTAACTTTATACTACACAATCCCGTTGTTATTGTCGGTTTGCCGCCACACCGCTCTCTCCCTCTCTCTCTTGAAGTGCACGGTTTACAAATTATTTGTTAAATGTACAACTCTCGTCTGCTTGGCATTGTCACTGCAGCATAAGCAAAGGCATGATCGCGGAACTTCTGTTCGTGCAAGCTGCGTCCATTGTTTTTCTTTTCTTCGATGTATAAGTACTCCTCGATTGTTTGCACTTTGGCTAATCGGCTTTAAAGCTAAATACTCCAGCGAAGGAAGACACTTGTTGTAGTTGCAAACTCGCACTATCTGGCTTATTAGCTTATTTACTATTTATGTTGTGCCTGTACTTATGTACTCAATTCTGCGATGACACGATGGCACGAGCGACGGCGTTCGCTGAGTTACTTGTACGTGTAAGGTAACTTTGCTGAACTGCAAAATATTATCTTGATCTTAAATAATGCAATGTGTTAATGTTGCAGTTTGGAGCAGTAGTGCTGCGAGAGAGCATATTCAACATATTCAAGTCAGCAGGTTAACTGCGCGCGCACTTGTCAACTTATATTTTGTTGTTGCGTCATTCATTTTCATTGGGCGGATTTGAGCGGGAGCGCATGAACTCTTCGAGTGAAATGTGTGCGGCTCGACAGCAACTGACGTAATAAGACTGTTAGATAATGTGCATTTTTTTTTTTTTTTTTTGCTTTTTTCTTCATTATAGGTACTTCGTAACGTTATTACTTCATAACATGCATTACGAAGCATAGAGACATAATTTTGCAGAAATGATTAACTCTTTGACGGAAAAAGAGTGGCCGTTCTGACGTTTCGTTCCTTATGTAATGTACTTAAACTAGTGGTTGACTTTTTGCTATAAATACATTTTGCATGCAGAATTTACCATACAGGTATACTTTCTGAGATGTGTGATTTTCATTGTGTGAGGATTTTATTTGCATGTAACGATGACAAGTACAAAAAAGAAGCTGTTTCGTTATTATATTAAGCGTTGCGAGACATTGGACAATGGCGTTGCATCAGAATTCTAATTAATTCTGCTTAATTTAAACTATGTTTAAGCATGTATAATGTGCATTGCGCGCGTGTATAAAAATTGAAATAGGTTCGCTTGGTTATCCTCTTCGGAGGGCTTGGACTTCCCCTGTTCCTTCGGGTGTATAGGTTTGTTCGAAGCGTATCGGCGTACGGCACACTGTGATTAAAAAAATATAAATATATATTATAGTTTATAGTGACCTAACCTTTTTTTGTAAAAGACTCGTCTCGTCGTTTTTTCTCAGGAACGGAGTGATTTATTATCTCAATTTTATGTTTACAAAGTGGTGAAAAGTGATTACTTTTATCAAATAATATTAAAACTTTGAATTTGGGGTTATCTAACTTTTTAAATGATTATTTAATGACTCTGTGTTTGACGAAATTCATAAATATTTAAGTATGGCTGCAGTGGTGAATACCGAGGAAGTATTGGATAAATTGTCATGTAAAGTACTGATAACTTGTCTTTTTCGCTTCACAAATGATTAATCATAAAAAAAGTGTTGATGAACAATCTCTTGAACAAGCATAATCATAAGTTGTTTGATTATTCAGTTAATAATTTTATTATTCAAGTACTCAGAATTAAAAATTTATTGAATTTTTTAAAAAATAAGGACATTAATTTACTAGAAATCATATAGTCGGTCTTAAGGTTAAATTTTTTTAAATTTCTTTAATTTATATTTCGAACAAATTACGATAATTAAATTATTGATTTAGTTCTGAAATTAAGTTATCAATCATACGTAATATTTCATTTAAGTATATGCCAAGGATTTACAAAATACGCTTGTTTTTTTGGTGACGTTTATCTAGAGACATTCTGAAAAAAATCACTATTGCAATTTTTGCGCGGTTGAATGCCTAAAATTTAAAATAGAATTTGTGATTTACAATTTTCAATGATTTGTAACGTCGGAAATTCGTCGCAAACATGCTGTACCGTTAAAGTTACAAACGAATTATTTTCCAAATCTCTTCTGAAAGTATTATGTCCATTATTTGTTCTCATCATTTGTATGTAAAAATGCAATTGACTGTCGCAGTGTACCGGGTCCAACTGCAAGCGGTATTGAGTGCCGACATACTAAAGAGTACACGGAGCTCCACTTGGCCGTGAAGAAAAAATGCTATCGCAAAATCCGGTACCTCTTCAAAAATGGCACCGATGTCGAGGCGCACAATTCTTACGGGTTGACACCTCTGCACCTGGCCGCGTCGCTGAGCGACATGGAGTCAACGAAACTGTTGCTGGATCATGGGGCCCAGCCAAAGCCCGACAGTTGTGCCAAATTTCCACCACTTATGTTCGCGGTAGCTGCCAAGTGCAAGCGCCTCGTCCAACTCTTCATTAAACACGGCTGTGATATCGACGAATCGGTCGATCAGAGCTTTGGATACTTGCATTACTGGACCAGGCACAACGACCTAGAGGTAAAAGTATTATTTTCAGCCGATCGGGCTATCGTACGAAAGAATATTCCACAACATCGATTTCCATAAAGAATTCGTGAATAATCCGGCACTGATTCTGTTACTATTAAACGATATTATATCATGCTTATGCGTATTGTTTCAGATGGTAAAATTTCTGTCGGAGTGTGGTGCAGACATCAATAATTTGGACAGCGACAACTCAACACCATTGTGCATAGCTGTCAGATACAAAAATTTGGACATGATGAACTTTTTCCTGGAGAAGGGAGCCTGCGTCCACGATAAAGCCAAAATGGGCCACTCGGCTTTGTTCGAGGCCCTGTACTTGAACGATGAGGATATATTCAGGCGACTGTTACCTTATACCGAGAACTACAACGACATCAACAGGGATGGGGAACACATTCTGCTCGTCGCCACGAAAAATAGTCAACACGGCATTATGCGTCTACTGTTGGAGGTGAAAGTCGAACCGGATGTTACCTGCGACCTCTTCATGACCCCATTGCACTACGCTGTGCGCAAAAACGACTACACGGCGATACTGCTTCTGTGCGAGTACCAAGCCAACGCGTGTGGTTCGCGCAGGCCTTCGTACTTGACTCCAAAGGTCCGTGATATTCTTGTGAACGACGGAGTGCTGGATCGTCGTCGTAGCTTTGACGAAGAGTACGATAACTTGACCCCATTTGATTTTGCAATTATTTATAAACGCGATTGCACCGACATACTGTTGGCTTCCATTCACACTTGGGATTACCATGCAAGTTGTGATATTTTTTTAAAACGCTATTACACCAATAGCATAAGGTTCCTTCAGTTTTACGTGAAAACCAAAGTTGCTGGGCTGACCGCTTATGCAGGGTCCCAAAAATCGATGCTAAGGTCGAGAATGATTGTAAATTACGAGAGCGTTTGTCAGACGGAGTTGGAGAAGATGAAAGCAGAAAAGCTGTTGGCTAACGTTTCGTACCACGACTTTATAACCAGTCCAAAGGATAAGCTTGTGGCTTATGCAAAACATCAGGATGTTATAGACACTTTCAACGGAGATGATTACAAGCGCGAGTTTCCCGTTTACAGGCACTTGTTGCTGTGGACCTTTGTCATTGGGAGACGCTACGTGAGATCGAGGCAAAGATCCATCGTTAGTCTTAACGAGTTGTTCAAATTTCGCTTACCGGAAGTAGTAAGCGAAAGTCTATTAGATTACATCAGTGATCGAGACGTTAGAATGGTACAAAGGGCCTTGGCGATTCTCCGTTAAGAATATTTGCGGCATGATGCTTGAAATTTTTTTTCAAGAGTCAGCACAGAGGCACAAATGTATTTTGAAATATTTTGTATTTCGAGTTTTTCTATAAAGAGGCTATGACGAATAACGAAAGAAAAAAAGACTGAGTAGAATTTTGTATTTTAAAAAATTTGTGATTATACCTGCTACTCGAAGAATTTGTAATTAAAGGTTTTACATCAGTGGCGTCACTAGTTTACAAATGGAGTCTTAATGCTTTTGATTGCCTACGTTTATGGGTCACTATGATAACATATATCGTTTAACTCAGATTTTTATACAACACATCAATGTTAATGGAATTGTGGCGGAAATAGTATTTTTATACGTACTTTTAAAGTTTGTATTGTACGTGTTTAATGCGAAACTAAACAGTATTTTTTCAGCGAATATTTTTATTTTTACACGTGTATTAAAGTGGAATAATTTTTGTATATATTTGACTTTCTTTATGAAAGCTTCATGTACCTATCCACTTGTTATTGTTTAAGGAGTACATGCTCATAAATTTTTTTTCATACGTTGAGTTAATGATTTTAATTATTTTTCAAACGTAGTAGCAACTGTTGAAATATTTTCATTCCATAAAGAAACAAAAAAAATGTAAATAAAATAAAATATAAACAAATATTTTACATTCACTTTTTAGTTTTTGAATTTTTTTACGAGATGAATTTATTACGACGCAAGAATGAATGATTCGGAAAAAAATCACATTCTTACGTGACATATTTTTTAATATTCAATTATAAAACAAGTTGGAAATTTCTCATGAAGTATTTTACATGAGTTATATGATTAAGTGTATTTGTTGAATCTTAAATAAAGTTTCACCAAAACAAATTTTTGTTCAAATTATTTATTTATTCATATAATATATTTGAACAATTTTTATCTCATTTAACACATATATCTTAAATATTTATGTAAAACCATAAAATTTATTATATAATGTGTAACATTTGAGGCACACATTAATACAATGTGGTCCCGATAAAGTTGTAACACAGCAAAATATTGACCACTATATTACAAACTAAGAATACAACACTCAAAAATTGCTAATTTTTTTTTATTGTCTAAATATCTACAAATAGGTGTAAGTAATATGTTGAAAAAAGTGTACAAAACTTTTTCGAAAATCTTTTACAAACATAAGATTATTTTGAACAAATCGTTATCCTGTTGAAAAAAGTGTACAAAAAATTTTCGAAAATCTTTTACAAACATAAGATTATTTTGAACAAATCGTTATCCTAAATATAAAAAAGAAAAAAATACTTTCGAACAACATGTTTCTAAACTTAAAAGAAAAAAATGAAAATTTTAGAAGATAATTCAATCATTGTACCACATACAATAAATTTTTGTAGATGAAGTATAAATGTCATATAAACGTTGAATTCTGTTAATCTATTCAAAGAGTATAATATATTTACAACTAAATACATAATGAAAGAGCATACATTAAAATTCAGAAATTAAAAGACCAAGACGAATAAATAATTAATGGAATTAATAGTTACGTTGATGCTAGATATGTGGGTCCAATGGAAGCAGCTTGGAGATTACAAGAATTTCTTATTTGTGGTGGAAGTCATACAGTTGTAAATTAAGCTGTTAACCTTAAAAACAAGCAAAAACTTGTACTCAAAGAGAACAATATTGAAACTGTCATAAAAACTATGAGACACAGTTAACAGCTTGGTTCAAAACAATAAACATGATGACTTCGCAAAATCTATAAAGCATGTGAACATTCCAAAATACTACATTTTTGNTCAATTAATAATAAATTAATAAAAATTGTTCTAATAACATGCACATTTATGAAAACGTACGCTGAGCTGCGTGTGCGTCAAAACGAATGATTGATACTTCAGTTTGTGGGACATACTTTTTTAAATATTTTGAGCTAAAAATAAATTTAAAAAACAAAATAAAAGGAACACACTGTCACTCGAAACATAGGATTTATAATTAAATTTTCCCGCGAAACGGTCGTTCATTGAAAAAAATAAAAAATCTTTCTCGCAGTTTTTGCGACCCCACTCGTTAGAGCAAAAAAAACATCATCACCGGCTACTGCTCCAAGCACCCCAAACAAAAAAAAAAAAAAATCAAAGACACTCGACACGCTATATCCTAATCCCCGCGAGAAGAAAAATCGATCGACTCGCGCAAAAATCGCGCGGTAGCAAAATCCGCTCGACGCACATTGCGCGCATTGAGAAAGAGGGCGGGAGGTGGGACTCGGGTGAAAAAAAGCCGCACCGAGTCCCCTCACGCGGCGGAGGCGCGGGCCCCACGGGGGGGGGGGGGGGGAGATGACTCGTCCCTCCGCGCGTATGGATGAAGGGCAGCCTCCTCAGCCGGCGACTCGGGGCCCAACGGCAGTTTCGTTCCGCTTAGAGCCCGGCGCGGAGATACCGGGCGCAGGGGTTATATTATCCCTCTCGCGTTGCCGGTTTTTGGGCCTTGTTTCAAAAAAAAAATAAATTTTTTTTTTTCTAAACGCGATTTGTGAACGACGTTTGGATAGTTTTGTTTTGTTTTTTCATTGAAAGGTGCGTTCGAGTGTGACAATTATGTGAAGTATAGTGATAAAAATTAGTGGTGCAGTTTGGTGAAAAGTTCGTGATTACAGTCACACCCGGTTGATGAATATCCAAAAAAGTATTTGGTAGCTTGACAGTATTATTGCGCAAAACAGGTGATTTTTGCACGCGACAATTTTACCCATATATACACATGCTTTGCGCACCAATTGCCAAGATTTCAGTTTGCCATAATTATTTTCCTGCACCTTAGCTTTTTGTACCTGCACGGAGTGCGCAAAACGAATGGTCCTTAGCAGCATGCGACAAGTACGGTATTTTGCGCTCTGGTAACCTTTGCGCCCCGATTCACGACAAAGTACAATACTCAAAATTGAAAATCTTTGCAAACGTTTTGCTGCGCAAACGTCGTACTCGTGCAAAAATCATTCATTTGCGCACTTTTTGCTTTATACAGTGTACCTACCTACAATTAAAAAAGACACGATTGGAAGTTGCGCTTCACCAATTAATCAGACAAAATAAATAAAAGGCTACGCGTAGTTTGTCAATTCATCAGGAATATTGAAAAAAAGAAAAATCGGCAAAAACCCGTCCTGAAAACCTTCAAATTTTCCGCCAACGAAAGGCTAATATCACCTTTAAGCATCATATTAGAGAAGAAAATTACACGTTCCGTAATGCCAAAGGGGAGTCGATCAGATACCCATACATAGGAAGCTCCGAGCACGTTACCCTGGCAAAACGTGCAATGCAGGCACCAATAAACCTACGATTAGCCCGATCGTGATTTAGGTGATCTTGAAAGTTTTTTTTCTTTTTCTTTCTTCTTCTATCAAAAATCTTCCCATACACCTTCTACTAATACACATGGCCATCCATACGAATCGTTGAAAAAAAAAGGTGTAAATATACCAAAAACCGTCCATCATGTTCCAAGTTTCAATTGGCACTCGTAAAGCGTGGCACACGACTTGATGAAATTACCACGGGCGGGAGCCGCGGTCTTTTGCCATCGGGGAAAAATTTATTGAGCGATCCGACGCAAAACGGTACCCGCGAGTGAGTAACTGTTCATCGATCCATATATATATATATATACTTTTTTTTTCGACACCAAAACGCGCAACTCCCAATACCCCAATCACTAATCTCGCCATTACCATCATCCCTCCCAACATTGTAAATTAATCACTCGCTCGAATGAGCCATTAACCACATACGTATATATTTTACGTACGAGAGCGCGTATACATATTTCATCGCAAACCCCGTCACCCGTGTAAATCGCCCGCGCGAGATACGTACACGCTCGTGATTAACAACTAAATCGGTATGAATAATTCGATCGAAGTACCTGTACGCAAATGATTTCTCACCAAGTCTAAAAACCCTTTTAAAGTGCCGATGACCCAATCGTACGTATACCTGATACTCGACCTTCGTCTCCTCACCGCGTATGTATATGTATGTATAAAAAGCCGATCCCGCCTCCCTCGGTCACATATATAACAACAGAATACAGCAGCATCAGTCAGTGGCAGCGCGGTTATAAAAGACCTGCAGGACAAGACAGAGGGGGGGGGGGGAAGGAGCTCGGAAGGCAAAAACGGTAAGTCCTCCCAAGAGACGCGGACAGGGTCTCTCGCGAGCGCGAGCCGATCTTTCTCTCCTCCTGTCGGCGTTTCTCTCCTCCCTCGGTGTCTCTGTGTGCACCGTCGAATAAACTATACTGACGCGGGGAGGATTGCCCGCGTGTATACATATATAATATGCGCGCAGGTGCAATCCCTACGTACACACACACACACACACCCTCCCTCTCTTCCTTTCGGGCTGTATATATATACTCCGTATACCGATTTTTGTTCTTTTGTGTGCATTTACCCTCTCTCGCGCGGACTTGATCGAACGGGGGACTTGCGGCGACGTTTGATTTCAACAGCCAAGGCCTACCGGCTGCGTCTCTTTCTTGTACGGACTTCTGATGGCGTGCCCTTTTCTCTCGGTGGACTCCACGATCGTTTATTCGTGTCTGGGAGGGGGATACGATTTTTTTTTTTTTTTTTTCGCCCAGTGAATTTATACCCGTGTGTATATGTACCTACGTCTCGTTTTTGCGGGCTTTTCGGGGGAAATCGGCAGAAATCGGTAAAGTTGCGCGTGGATTGGTTATCTGTGGCGAAATGGACAAAATCGGCAATCCACTTACAACGATCGTCGTCGAAAAATCGGGATTTTGACGCGATTGTCTTTTTATCAGATCAGGAGAAAAAAAAGAAACAATCTCGATCTCAGACATGCAGATCGAAGAAAAGTGTACAGGTGCACTGTACACGACATATAGTGAAATCGACGACAACGCATGTACACGCGCATCACGTACACATATAGCAATCCCGAACTGTACCCGAT